CTCTCAGAGCCACTGGATGGGGACTGGTTGCCAGGGAAACCAACCAGGTGATCATTGTAACTTTCAGTCCCGCTCCATGACCTCCAGGGAGAGGAAGGCTGGAGGTTGAGTTAATTACCAATCGTGCCTAAGTAATGAAGCCGCCATAAAATAGTCCTAGTGAAGGAGTTCAGAGAGCTTCTAGGTTGCTGGGAGGGTGACTTACTCAGAGGGCATGAAAGTTCTGTGTCCCTTCCACCCACCTTAGCTTATGTATCTCTTCCTTCTGCCAATACTGAGGCTCCTCTGTTCATGGGATTCTCCAGGCAAGAATACTGGAGTGGATAGCCATTCCCTTCTCCAGGGGATCTTCCTGACCCAGGACCCGAACCCAGGTCTCCTGAACTGTCGGCGGATTCTTTACCCTCTGAGCCACCAGGGAAGCCTAACCTTTCTGATAAACCTGCAATCTAATAAGTGATCTGTTTTCCCAGGTTATGTTAGCTGTCCAGAAAATCACTGGACCCAAAGAAGAGGTGGTGGGAAGCTCCAATTTATACCCTATCAATTAGAAGCACAGGTGAGAACTTGGACTTGCTTTTGGCATCTGAAGTGGGAGCAGTCTTGTGGGACTGAGTCTTTAAACTGTGGGTTCTCTGTTGTCTCTGGGGAGATAGTGTCAGAATTGAATAGAATTTTAGGATACCCACTTGGAGTCTGCATAAACTGGAGAATTACTTGGTGTGGGAAAAACCTGCACACATCTGGTGTCAGAAGTGAAATGAGTACAGGAAAGTGTAGCTAACTTTTACAGAATTTGCATGTGGTTCCATCATTTTTGCCCATCACATAATTCTAATAAACTAGAAAACATGACCTTTAGGGAGTGGACAGAGAATAGCTAAATTCTGACTGTACAGTAGTGGTGAGGTCAGAAAGCACAGGGCGTTGTGGCCTATAATTGGGGGGCATTTTTAGTTGTTGGGGGGCTGGAGGGAGGAGAAGAAAGAGACTGAGTATATAGAGACTACTTCACATTGTTTCCAAGATGCAAACATGACTATTAAAAATAAGAATCCTTATTATATTTTCCATCAGCATATATAAACTAGTTTACATAAAATGTCTCATTTGACCCTCACGAAATTTTGTGGGTATTCACAATTGAAGTTTTTTTTATTACTGTTATTATTACTGGCTGCACTGGGTCTTTGCTGTGATAAGCGGGCTTCTATACTTGTGGCCCATGGGGGCTTAGTTGCTTTACAGCACGTGGGATCTTATTAACAGTTTCCTGACCAGGAATCGAACCTGCATCCCTGGCATTACAAGCTCAGAGTCTTAACGACTAGACCACCATGGAAATCTCACAACAGAGGGGCTTATATTTTAAATTATTTTGCTCTGCAATATTGTGATGGTTTTTGCCAAACATCAATATGGTTTGACCATAAGCACACATGTGTCCCCCACATCCTGAATCCCTCCCTTCCCATCTCCCTCTTCACCCAATCCCTCCAGGTTGTCACAGAGCACCTGCTTTGGGTGCCCTGCCTCCTACATCACACTTCCACTGGCTATCTATTTCACCTATGGTAATGTAATGTAATTCTGATTTTGAATACGATTTTATCCCTGATCTCGGAGACCAGGTATCTTAGGATACCTTCATGGGGTTGCATGGGAGTCACCGTGAATGGTCCAGGCTTCCCTGTCCTCCCCAGCATCTGACTCACCACTCAGCCATCCCCAGCATCACCACTGGGACCCTATTCCTGGATATCAGTACCAGCAAAGTCTCATACCTTGATGTGTAGAGCAAATGACCGTGAGTTCCTGGCTTATGTGTCCAGACCGTCTCACAGGAATCAAAAGCTCCCCAGCATCCTCTTCTATTTTGTATTCTGCCTCTGGAATATAAACTGTTGATTCTAGAAAAGAGGATAGATTACTTTTTAGCAAGACTTAAGTTTGATTGGTGATATTGGTGATATTTCAACCTGAGTGGAAATGTACATGATCTTGACCTCTATATATTTCAACTCTATGGAATATAGTAAGAATAGGAAATATCTGTCATTAAGCGGAGCTGGAGAGGTAGTGAAATTAAGTTTAGGAGGTTCCCTTTGAAATGTTAAAAGTGTTATCTAGCACTGAAATGGGAAGGAATATCAACAATTTGGTTTCTTTTTTGGAGGTCACATTTTAGGTTTTTTAAATAAAGATCACAGATTTCCGTGTTTTACTTTTAATGTTTATTTTGTTAAATGCTTTTGAACAATCAAGTCATCTATTCATGAGTATAAAGAAATGTTTTCTGCTTTATTCAACAAACATTTGATTCAACACATATCAAGCAGACACCATGGGTAAGACACAGGGCTAAGAAAAATAAGCTACTCATTCTGCTCTTAATTCTTAAGATAATATTCCCATTGAAATTTTCTGAGCTGGATGTGTGCGTGTGAACACCTGTTACATTACCGTTCTCTGTCATGCAGTTTGGGATGTAAAAACATACACATAGGCATCATCAGAACAGTTGCTGCAATATGGGTATGAATACTGGTAATTTCTTGATGTGTACTATTTTTCTTGGGATTTTGCAATGTTTTCCAAGGCTTTACATTAAGAATGCAATGCATAGTTGAAATACCTGTGTTTGTTTTAAAAAAAATAAAAATTGGAAGTGGATTGTTTCTACTCATAGAATCAAGTGGTGAACTGAGTGGCTTTCTGAGTCAAACCACATTTAATAGACTGAAATATCTCCTCAGTATATATACATATATTTATTTATATTATATATATATATATATATATACACACACAGAAACAGTGCCCAGTCCAGTCAGTCATCTCTGACTCTTAGCGACCCCATGGACGGTAGCCTACGAGGCACCTCTGTCCATAGGATTCTCCAGGCAAGAATACTGGAGAGGGTTGCCATGACCTCCTCCAGGGGATCTTCCTGACTCAGGGATAGAACCTGCCTCTCTTGGCAGGCAGATTCTTTACCACTGCACCATATGCACATACACAAATTCTTCCTCTTGACAATGGAAGCATGAAGGAAAAATACTGTAGTACACCATCTGTTCTTCTTTTGGAACTGAGTTTGGGCTTCCCTGTGGCTCAGTTGGTAAAGAATCTTCCTGCAATGCGGGAGACCTGAGTTCAATCCCTGGGTTGGGAAGACCCCTTGGAGAAGGGAAAGGCTACCCACTCGAGTACTCTGGCCTTGAGAATTCCATGCACTGTATAGTCCTGGGTTGCAAAGAGTCAGACATGACTGGGTGACTTTCATTTCGCTTCACTACAAGTTTACCCAGAATTCAATGTTGAGTTATCTAGTTATCATATGTTATTTTTTTTCTCCTTTATTTTCCTGCCTAAAATGATCTCAACAGATGCTGGTATCAGTCTTTAGAAAACACTGGTCCTGATTACAGAGGGAAAAGACCAGTGATCATTTTCATTCTGCCATTTTACCCCCCTGTGGTATTCTACTGTCTGGACATCTCTTGATTCAAAGGATTGTCACCATGGAAGAAGCTAAAAGTAATGTTATTAATGTTAAGTGAAAAAAACCGATATGTTGGGGCTCAGTTATCCAGTCACGTTCTCTATTTTCCCATTCTGAAAAGCTGCTCCTATCCATCTATGAATCCAAATCCCATTTTATTCTTCAAGACTCAGCTGGAATTCTGCCTACTACAAAAAGCTTAATAGTTTGAAATGATGGTGATCTTTCCAGTTTCTTAGCTCAGAACACTGTTTTTGCCATGTACCCTCACATGTAGCTTTCTTAATTGATTAATGTGTTTAAGCGTTGTTATCAACAAAACTAATGAAATACCTCTTCATTGGGTGGTGAAGGCTGTGATTTCTATTTTTGTCTACTGGAGTGCCAAGCACGTGAAAAGCAGTGTTTCTCAAATTGTGTTCCAAGAAAACTAGAACTTAAAGATTTTAAAAGATATTCCTTGGGTACGACAAATTAAAAAAAAATCTATATTCTAATTTGAGAAAACTGGTTAAACAAAGTCAAACAGATTTCTTTTTTTTAAATTGAGATATAATTGATTTACAATGTTGCCTTAGTTTAAACAGGTTTCTTTGTAGAAGAATTTTCTCAGGAACCTAATAAGCTAGTGTGAATTATGATGCTTCAAAGGAGATATTTGAAAAGTTTCCTAGACTTCTTTGGTCCATGGAAAGTTTACTGACCATATTATATAAATTGTATTATATTTTCTGCTCTGCAGTTTGGGACATGCTGATACAGGGGATTCGTCAATGATTCTTATGGCATTTAACTAAGACTTCCTTCCTGATAGTTAAGTCACCCACTTCTGGGGGGTATGCAAATTCTTTCAGTTCTCATGATAATCGATATGTCTAACTTTCAGATGTGAATACTGAAATCCTCTTTTAGGATCTATTCTTCTACTTTCACAAAAAGGAGCAGGAAAAAAAGTCACAATCACTGACTAATTACTTTTTTAATTTCTCTGGGGAGATATTTGCTGAATGAATGAACCAATAATGAACTGATGAATTCAAGAGTGTTATGCAGAGCTATAACAGAACTTTGTGGAATGCATGCTAACGTGAATCAGTTGGCTGGTTCCCAGCAGCCGCATCTAGGGTGAGGAATATGTGAGGTCCCCACCTGATCTGGTGGGGAGCTCCCAGAAAATTGTGAGAAGATGGAGCAAGCCCTGAGGCTTAGCCATTTGGGGTCAAAGCTCTGCCCTACTGAGTGTGCGGAGCGCTGGGAGGGAGGACTGGGCATTTGTTAAAGTAAGCTTGGCAAAGTCTTGTCTGTTTCACTCTCCTACATCCCTATTCAAAGATCCTAAAAACAAAGAAAAATGACTGCATTGAGGTGTGTTACTTAATTTGAAATCCTAAGTGATATGAATGTGTCCAGTGGCTTATGGAGCTTGGTGGAGGTATAAACACCTGAAATGAACCCAGGAACCCATTAATAGATTATACCAATAGGAATCACATACCGTCTTCAGGGTCCACAATTTCAACAATTGCCATTTCAGGAAACTCCAGTACAGCCCTGACAGGGTTTGTCAGAATGATCTGGAAGGTCTCTGAAGCCTCGTATTCATTGTCTGATAGAATTCTCACTTTCCACGTGGCTGTAGTCTGTCTGGGACTGAACTGGACTTCTTTCTGGGCCTTTCCTTTAAAATCTTTATCTTTTTTTGCAGTTTCATCTTTCGTTACAATGCCTGAACAAAAATCAGGAAACTATGAATATAAAGCCAAGTAACTGAAGGGATGTTTTCACAGTGGGTTCTGCTGTCGATGAAATGCTGACAGCACAGAAATTGCTTCTTTTAATGTTCTCAGCAGACACTTATACGCTAAATATATATTCTGGCTGTGTGGCATGTGAAATCCCAGATCCCTAACCAGGGACCGAACCCAGGTCACAGCAGTGAAAGTCTGGAATCCTAACCACAGAGCCACCAGAAGCTACCACTTTTGTGATTTCCTTGGATTGAAATATAGTTGATTTACAATATTGTGTTAGTTTCCCATGTATAGCAAAGTGGTTCAGTTGTATATATCTATAATATATATTTCAGATTATTTCTGATTGTACGTTATCATGAGATATGGAATATAGTTTCCTGTGATATACAGTAACTCCTTGTTGCTAATCTAGTTTATGTATAGTTGTTTGTTAATCCCATACTCCTAATTTATCCCTCCTCATTCCCTTCCTCCTTTGCTAACTATAAAGTTACTTTCTGTGTCTGTGAGCCTGCTTCTATTTTATATATAGTTTCATTATTTTTTAGATTTATTGTTTACTATTTATATATATATTTCATTATTTTTTAGATTCTATACATAAATGATATAACACAGTATTTGTCTTTCTCTGTCTGACTTACTCAACCAAGTACAATATTCTCTAGGTTCATTCACGTGGCTGAAAATGGCATTGTTTCATTCTTTTTTAGTGGCTGAGTAATTCATGCATTGGAGAAGGAAATGGCAACCCACTCCAGTGTTCTTGCCTGGAAAATCCCAGGGACAGCAGAGACTGGTGGGCTGCTGTCTATGGGGTCGCACAGAGTCGGACACGACTGAAGTGACTTAGCAGCAGCAATACTGTATATACATGTACTCACATATATATATATACGTATGTGAGTACATATATATACATATATATATATGTACTACATATAGTACATAGTAATATAGTACTATGTACATAGTACATATATAGATATATGTACTACATCCTCTTAATCCAATTGTCTTTTGATAGGCACTTGGGCTGTTTCCACATCTTGGCTATTGTAAATGGTGCTGCTAGGAACACTGGGGTACCTGTATCTTTTCGAATTAGAGTTATAAACTACTTTTGGCTAAGAGAGGATGTCTAAGCAGAGGGGTAGACAAAAAGAGGAGTGACAGAAAAAGGGAACAGCCATTCACTTCCTTATTTTATCAAATGTCTACTGACAGCGTCTGATGTGCCACACTCTGCTGGGTGCTTGGGATTCAGAAATGAGTATGAAAATGCCCCAGCTCCAGAAAGCTCAGAGTCTCTGTGAGAGAGGAGAAGAACAGGCTGAGCTCACTCCATCTTGAAAAAGAAGGAAACTAGATCTTGCCCTTTCAGTGAGCTTTGGACTATGTGCCTGGTAGCCATGGGGATAACATACCTACAGCCGAACTGGCCTCCCAGACTGATAAACACCAGATTCCATACCCAGGTTTCCCGTTGCCAAAAAGAATGTAATAACCCCCTGTGCGGTCAGTCAGCTTTGTAATCTTCATGGTGTAGGCTACAATGAATGCATAACCAGCTGACCCTTCTGATTGTGAATCATGGCTATAACCTGATTGTGTCTCCCTTTAACACTTTTCAGGCTAGGTTTAAGGAATCTGGGGATGTGGGCTTGAGCAGTACACTTAAGGTATATAAGGTTTTCATAAAAGTCGGTCAGGGTCCTTGGCTAAGAGGAGACTCTGCCTTGGGCCCGCCGGTGTAATAAACTGCACTCCACTATTTGCATTGCCCTGCTGAGTGAGTTGTTTCCCGGAATGCGTTGCTACAACATCTGGACTCTAGCATGTGAACCCCATGGAGGTAGAGACCTTGGGCTGTTTGTTTCACTAGAGGACTCCTGGTGGCTACAACAGTGCTGGGCATTTTTGAGTTAATATTTTGTATCCGATCATTTCTGCAATCTCTGAGAGTATTTATTGTTTAGTCTCTAAGTCAAGTTTAACTGTGACTCCATGGACCATATCCTGCCAGACACCTCTGTCCATGGGATTTCCCAGGCAAGAATACTGGAGTGGGTTGCCATTTCCTTCTGTAGGGGATCTTCTGACCCAGGGATTGAATGCACATCTCCTGCATTGCAGGCAAATTCTTTACCACTGAGCCACTTGTGAAGCCCTTCTGGGAGGATAACTATAGGTTATTTTCTCAGACAGACATTTAGTCATGGTGGCTTGAATTTTCATGCACTTACCGATTTTTTGTCTTAATCTACTGATGTGTTTCTTTTGTGTGTGATTTTTTAAAAAAAAACCTTTGTAGTCATATTTTTTTAAAGAAAAACTTTATTTTTACTTATTTATTTATTTGGGATCTTAGTTCCCTGACCAGGGATCAAACTCATGTCCCTGCAGAGGAAGTGCAGAGCCCCTATCACACTCACTAGATTGCCAAGGATTTCCCCATGTGTGATTTTTTTTAACCATTTAAAAAATTGAAGCATAGTTACTTTACAGTGTTGTGTGCTTACTGATTTTTGATGGTGAGAAAATTGTTAGTAATTTTCCAGACAATTAGGGCACTGTTGGTGGAGATGGAGAGCTGGGAATAGATTTCTTCAGCAGTGTTAGGAAATAGGAACTAACAAATTACTGAAGCAAATGAACAACAACACAGTAGTTTTTAAATGACCACTTAAAAAAAAAAAAAAAAGACCACTGTGAGTGGTTAAGACTCCACCTTTCATCGCAGGGAACATGGGTTCGATTCCTGTTTAGGGAATTAAGATCCAACATGCGGCACGAGGCAGCCAAAAATAAATAAACACATTAAAAAAAAATCAAGGGGCTTCCCCGGTGGCTCAGTGGTAAAGAATCTGCATGCTGATGCAGGAGACGTGGGTTTGATCCCTGGTCCGGGAAGATGCCACATGACGCAGAGCAGCCAGGGTAGTTAGTGCGCCACGACTATTGAGCCTGTGCTCTAGAGCCTAGTGAACCCAAATACTGGGGCCATGTGCTGCATCTACAGAAGCCCAGCACCCTTGAGCCCGTGCTCCACAAAAAGAGAAGCTGTGCTCCACACAATGAGAAGCTGGCATACAGCAGCTAGAAAGTAGCCCTCCCTCGCCACAGCTAAAGAAAGGCCCGAGCAGCAATGAAGACCCAACACAGCCAAAGTAAGTAGTTTTTTAAAAATCAAGAAAAATACTCAGTGTGAGATACAAGGGTGGCAGATGGTAGCCCCTCAAGACTGAATTGATCCTCCCCTCTCCACAGAATGTTCAAGAAGTATTCTAGTATCATTTGGCTTTGATTTGACACCCCAATGAATACCCAATGGAGCACAAACACCCATGTCTCATCACTTCAGTCCTCATTATAAGGTTTAGACTCTTCAGTTGTTTGAATGTGTGAAATCAGATATCATGACCTGACACCAGTTATCATGAGAAAAGCTTTACATAAAATGAGCCTCATAACCCCTTTGCCATTTGCTCTGTCTCATTCTCAGAGAATCTGATCTCATGTAAAAGATACCCAAAGCTCTAAAGTGTGAAAATAATTTCCAGGATAGAAGAGCTGGAGATGACTTTTCAAAAGTGTTGAAGAAAGTCTGCATTAATCCTGGTTTGGTAACTGAGAATGAATGTCCAGTTTTGAAGCGCCTCCTTTGGTCCCATGTTGAGGTGAAGAAGATATGGAAGAGGGGTGTATCCTCAGCTACACTTTATTTTCACTCATTTTTAAAAACTGGAGGACAGTTGTTGTACAATATTACATAGGTTACAGATGTACAGTGATGTACATGTACAAAATAGTCACAATTTTTAAAGGTAATTCTCCATTTGTAGTTGTTATAAAATATTTGCTATATTCCCCATGTTGTACAGTATATCCTTTTAGCTTATTTTACATGTAATAGTTCATATCTCTTACTCCTCTATCCCTATACTGCTCCAACCCCTACAGATAACCTACTAATTTGCTCTCTGTATCTGAATGGTTTCTCTTTTGTTATATTCACTAGCTTGTCTATATATATAGTGTCTATATATATATCAGTTCAGTTCAGTCACTCAGTCGTGTCCAACTCTTTGCGACCCCATGAATCGCAGCACGCCAGGCCTCCCTGTCCATCACAAACTCCCGGAGTTTACTCAAACTCATGTCCATCGAGTCAGTGATGCCATCCAGCCATCTCATCCTCTGTCGTCCCCTTTTCCTCCTGCCACCAATCCCTCCCAGCATCAGGGTCTTTTCCAATGAGTCAACTCTTTGCATGAGGTGGCCAGAGTATTGGAGTTTCAGCTTCAGCATCAGTCCTTCCAGTGAACACCCAGGACTGATTTCCTTTAGGATGGACTGGTTGGATCTCCAGTCGGACACAACTGAGCAACTGAACTGAACTGAACTGAGGAGTTTAGTTCTTCTACAAATATTCAAATGACTCTGGGAAGATGGACAGTTTTTCCCCCTGAGTCAGACAGGATATAAAAACCTCTTGACATAAAAACTCCAATCTTTGCCTATGAGACATCCCCAAAATAAAGAACTGTGGAGACAGAACCCTACAAGAGAAGGGATGTGTGTTTCAGCTGAAGTTCTTGGCAGAAAGTTCCCCTGTGTGTTGATGAAGTAACCTCTGGGAAGTAACTGAGACCAAGGGCCATGCAGAAATCATGGCGCTCTCTGGCTGACCTCGTCTCCTAGGAGAATGGTCCTAACTCAGACACCCTGAGCCTGGAGAATAGATCTGGGAAAAGCTTGCCTTTCCTTGATTGCCTGTTCCCAGCCATCTCCCTCTTGGCTTCTCTCCAGTGGTTTTGGCAGGACTCTAATTAGACCCCAAAGGTCTCGGAAATTCACAATGCACACTTGTAAAATGAAGGCATTTTATTGTCTTCTATTTGTCTTCACAACAGATTGTGAAAAAGATAAAATGATCTCTGAAATTTCCGGCAGATAGAGATGGGATAAA